GTAACAATTTGAGGAAAACTTCATGCTGCCTGACGTTGTAGAGAGCCTGTCTGAGCAGGACCATAGGCAGGTCACAGGCTCCAGGCTGGCTGTCGGGGTCCGTCAGCTTCTCCAGCAAAGCGGTGTACTTCCAAGCCAAACTCTGTGAGACGCTCAGCTCGTTTTCCATGCTTTTACTGGTGACTGGAAGAGCTTCCTTAAGAGCTGTGGGCACTGTGGAGAAAATGTAAAAGGAAGTGCCAAAATTACTCAGAGTGTGATGTCCACAGGCTGCTGAATGCACTTTAGGAGAGAGTAGAACAGTTTGCAGACGTGCTGTATGAGACACTGGAACATCATTTGTGGGTTGTAATGCAGTGTAATGCTGCCGCTGTATACTCATGAAGCTCTAGCAAAGGTTCAGTCAGGAAGACTATTCTTTTGCATGTAGTTTATTTGTCATACCATCCTGCCAGTCACTCCTCTCACACGTCACTCATACCTAAAATAGTCTATGTACAATATACTGCTACCTTCCTGTTTAATACTGTTAGGAGTGTAAGAGAGGGTTTGAGCACTATGGTGACATGTGCAATATTTGCTACATACAGTATATACTGTAAATATATCATGTATATGGCATAATGTGAAACAATCCATGATTCTGTTTGATGTTTTGAAACTTAATACTTGGGGCCTTTGTGCGTCTGAGCCCAGAAGCCCATTCTCTCATGACCCGTACATGATGGCACATTACTTTGTTCTCTCTTCTATCATCTGCACCCGCTTGGGCCAGAGGGAGTTTACTATGTAAACTAAATCTTGCATGCTGTAATTTCATAATATTATAGCTTCACGTGGCAACTTAATGATTCCAAAGAGCAGAGGGGTAACAGTGTGGAGCTCAGTCCCCAGTAATGATCTAATGAATGGGGGTATGATGTTCTTCCCTGAACTAGCCAGCCCCACTTAGTGATCTACTTAGAAGGTGGTATTTTTACATAGTAGCTAATGTGCCTGATCATTTAAAAAAGGCACATCACACTGTCTGACCACATGTGATAGTAATACTAATAAGCTCATAGCATGTTACATAACAACAAATCATGTGTGTCAGTAGGCTGGGGTACTGTACTTAGTTCATGGAGGTCAGTCTCCTCCTCTCCTGTCTTGTTGGCATTGTTGAAGAGCCGGATCCCTGTGACAATCATGGCGAGCTCTTTGAGCTGCTGCTCCTTGTCCCTCTTTAAGAGCACCATGAAGGCTCCCAGTTCAGTCTGAGGGAAAACGCTCTGCAGGGCAGCTGCGACAAGAGAAGAGGAAGAGAAAATTAGAGTCAGGATCCAGTCCACATGATCATCATCATCAAAACAATGTACACTGTGTGGTCAAAAGCATGTGCTGGGATTGGCTCCCATTCAGTCACATGAGCATCAGTGAGGCTCAGCAATGGAGAAGGGTGATGAGGATCACAGTCGGCGTCCAGTTCATCCCAAAGCTGTCGGAATGGGGTTTAGGTCAGGGCTCTGATCAGTCTACAAAGCAGCTTTATGGAGCTGGCTGTGTGCATATCGATTCAGACAAACACACAAACACAAACTGCTGACACGAACAAAAGTTGGTCATAAAGTGCACCAGGCTTCTCAGGAGCATGTCAACAACATTTGTTGATTCTCAAAGAGCACAGCCCCAGACAGTTCTGTCAAACATTTAAACATAAAAAAATTTTTTGTGGAAGTTGCCGCATCCAATCTTTAGTGTAATGATTCAACAGTTTATCACCGACCTCCCTATTTACTGTCTACAAAGCAACCTCTGAGGCAACTCAGAGTGTGATGTCCACAGGCTGCTGAATGCACTTTAGGAGAGAGTAGAACAGTTTGCAGACGTGCTGTATGAGACACTGGAACATCATTTGTGGGTTGTAATGCAGTGTAATGCTGCCGCTGTATACTCATGAAGCTCTAGCAAAGGTTCAGTCAGGAAGACTATTCTTTTGCATGTAGTTTATTTGTCATACCATCCTGCCAGTCACTCCTCTCACACGTCACTCATACCTAAAATAGTCTATGTACAATATACTGCTACCTTCCTGTTTAATACTGTTAGGAGTGTAAGAGAGGGTTTGAGCACTATGGTGACATGTGCAATATTGGCTACTGGGTTAAACATTTTTTAGATGTCTGTTGATAGGAAATTATTGATTATTTGTAATGTATGCAGCATCACTGATACCAAAACGTATTTCCCCATGGGTGCAATAAAGTATATGTTATTGTAATTTCCTGCTGTCATTAATATTATGTTATATACACATCATCTGTTCTAACTGTTATCATCATTCATCCGCCCGTCTCTCCGGACTGAAGTTACTGCAGTTTCCAAGAAACTGAAAGTGTGAAACCTGTAGCCTCCTGCAGCGTGCTGACATCTGTAGGTGAGCCCATGCCGGAGCGCAGCAGAATGTAGCTGATGATTTTACAGTATAAAGCATCTAATTCATCCCGTGTTTTCACCCTGCTGTCGGTGATCTCTCTGCTCACTGGGCTCAGCCTGGACTCCAACAGTTGCTGGATTTCCTCAAGAAATTCACCTGCACAAACACAAACAACCTGCTTAGATGTGAAATTCATATGATCACTGGACTCTTCTCTCTTGCGCTTTAAAAGTTAACAAGAAAGAATTTGAATTCATTCTAAAACATGTGTAACATGCACCCCTTTGTTAAAAAGAGTGTTCTTTCCATTTAAAAAAATCCAGGAATCAATTAAGCTAGAATGTATTTTAGATTCAGGTTTTAATGCTGCAGGATCAAAATCCAGATTTTGTTCAATACTAAAAATATCTGTCTGGTCAGTTTACTTAAATTATATTTTCCATCTAGTTTCTGTCAGACCTGTACAGCATGCAGCAGAAAACTAATCAACAGCAATACTGATAATTATTCTCTGGTTTTAATTTCTCCAGTGTGTTAGGACATGCTGTCTTCTTTCCCTGAAACTGAACATCAGGTTTTGGGATGTTGGTCGGACATTTGTGATGTCATTTCTCACTATCTCACAGAAAAAACTGTCAATTAATTAAACAGATAATTCACAGATTTATTGATAATGATAATTTATAATGAAAATAATGTTTACATGCAGCCATAGATGAAAGTCTCTCAGAGTGGCAAACCCAAACACTACATTCAGTCAAATCAGTGTGGACCCCATGCTGAGGAGAAGATCTGTATATTCCTCTTTTTACAAACAGATGGCATTACTTTGTCATTCCATATTGTGACACTTACGTCTCGAAGTGTAATTCATGTCAAAATACACCTGCATTTTGATAGTGTCGAGGGACGGGCTGCACTTTTCCATTAGTTTATCCAGACACAGCTGTAAGAAATATTGCAGATGGAGATCAGAAACAAACAAACGTGTGGTTTTCAGGGTCACTACTCACACTGTTGATAATGAGGTCATGTTATGTTCTACAGTTCAGAAGTAACACTTGTTTCAGGCAGATTCAAATATTTTCTAAACCCAATCTTTTTCAATCTGACCACTTTCCGGTACATAAAGAATTCAGCAATCTCCACCAGAATGTATAGCCGGCAGTGTGGAGAAGGTTTTTAATCTACATCTAAATGCTGCAGTATTAACAGTTTAACAGGTAAATAGAATGTGAAGAATGTCAATAATTTTTTAAAATTAATAGAATTTTATAGAAATTTAGAAATTTAATAGATTTTATTTGTGGAGTCTAGTTAGGATATTCTGGTGGGGGCTTGGCCTCATGACCTCAGTATTTCTAAACCCCAAGCTAAATATTCAACTAATGAATGAAATGTACACAAGTTTACCAACATCGTGGTAACTTGTAGTAAATATCATATTTATAGTATACTGGCTCAACATACATACAGACATCGGTTCATTTCTAAAAAACTTGAAAGCAGGAAGAACTGAGGTGAGAGGGAGAAGAACCTGGCGTCAGTACCTCACCTCTTCAAGTTTCTGGACATCTTGTTTGGTCAGTGTCCGGTCGACATTAAACCCATTCCTGGGGTCCAGCACGACAGCCTTCACCTGAGAACATTTTAAAATCACAAACGTTGAGTTTTATACAGCAGTACCGTTAGTTTCCAAAATATAGTTAGGGCCAAGCTGCGTTCACGGGTAACGTTAGTGGAATATTTTCCCGAGAACGTCCGAAAAGTGACTGTTTAAATCCTCACAGCGTAACGTTACGTACGAACTTCACCGCACCGTGAAGCTTTAACATCCAGCTAGCTAACAGTTACCAACGTTAGCCTACTGACCATGAACGCCGCCAGCGTGTCGGACACCGCCTGTCCTCTCACTGCACACTGCTGCACTATTTCACCAATGATGTTCTTAATCACGCTTTCTGCGTGAGCTCGAGACATTTCTGCCGACATCGATCCTAACTTCACTTCACTGTTAGTAACACAGCCACCCCAGCCTGTTGATGCGGGTTGCCATAGTAACAGTGCCAGGGGTGCCAGTGTCCGCTAGAGGGCGCTGGAATTCAGCGAAAAGGTTTGTGTCGCTGCAAAAGAATGATGTCCACGCTTGAAGCAGCTTTTTAACTTTTCTTGGAATCTTTGTACAGAAAAAGCGCAATAGATAAAACACCACCACAAATTGTCAGTTAATCTGTAAGACAGTTACATAACATAGACTGTTTAAATACTAGCAACGCAGAGGGTAACTCTTTCAAAGAGCTTAACCTGCACAGTCCAGCTTGGCAATTTAAGCCAAACAGAAGGATTTTTAGCCAAATGTTTGTGTATTTCATTAAATGTAGAGAGCAACTTAAAAATGATATGCAATTTTTGACACTAGATGCATAGAATGGAAGTTCTACTAGTTCTATCTGGAGTGTTTCCAATTTACTTCTTGCTTCAGCAGGCTAAGGAATGCATTTGTTTCAGCTACTGTCTGTGTAGTAGATCCACTATGTTCAATGAAGTATGTGACACATGAACAAGGGACAACAAAAAAAAAAAATGCAGATTAAAATATTTATTATAAAAACAGACATGACATAAATAGCATGGTTTGGGTGATACATTGCTAGAGTCAGTCCAGACTGTTATAGTGCATTTAGAGAAGGAGACTCCGATAAAAACAGACTGAGCAGTTCATCTGTGCCATGACACAAGGCTCACAAGGTCACGTTTCATGGTGATTTTTAAGTCACATGACAGCCCCATGCCGTTTAGAGGCAGTTTACAAAAACACAAAGAAAGACATGCAGACAAAGGAGCACATGCAAGAGGTGCAACTAAATGACACGCAACAAAATCATTTCATGCAAGAGAAAACATTTTAAAAAGTAGACCATGTATAAATTATATGGGGCTGACAGGGGTTTTCAAAAGTCAGGTAATGAGATAAATGCAGCAGTTTTGGCACCACTGGAACACCTTTCACAAAAATCAATACTGCTGTGCAGGTGTTCACATAACCACAGTTCTCAGATCAGACGATATTTTAGAAAATTTGTGGCAAAACACTGCACTCAAATAGAAAATATTAAAGAGAAGTTTAACTTTAGACAATAGACAACACACACACTGTACCTGCAGCAGTAGCATTTACCATCAGCTGCCTGTTCAACAGACTGACAGAGTGAAAGACATTACCTGACCAATACTGTACACCACATCTTCAGTTATTACCAACTGCACACTAACCCACAGACTATCAGGTGGAGAATCACTACACAGGAAAATAACCATAAGTGAGACACAGCTCAGCTAACTGTTTTCTAGAACTTCATATTCCACAAATCCACACTTCTATTCTCCAGTTTACAACTGCTCAGCAAAAATTCATGTACATTGATCTTTTGTTTCGCACGATAATTGTATTACGGCCACTGCTAGGGAAAGAAATGGCAAAAAAAAAAAAAATTGCAAAAAAAAAAATTACTGAATACAGTTGTTACAAGAAAGTCATGTTTAGAAGTCTTGAGAGAAAAAAAGTTGTAATGTTATGACAGAAAAGTTGGAATTTTACATGGAAAAAAAAATACTGAGAATCTAATACAGTCACCATAATCATCCTCCATCATAAAGATCATTTAATAATGCTTTAAAAAAACATAGTAGCTGTGAACACTGCACAGCTGCACTGCTCATGCAACTTTCACCATGTCACACAAAGATAATTTGTTATACCAAATTTACTTTTAAAACTGTTGTATAAATACGCACTGTAATTTGATATTAGATTCATATATTTATATCTGGAGTCGGCACATTGAGTTTATGTCCCTCAAGTGCTCATTCTGGAAACAAGTTGGCAGACATCAATTAAAGGCCGGCTTCAATTCTAGTCCCTTAATCACAAACATTAATAAGCTTAGGCTTTAAGTCTCGGGCACAGACATACATTCCCAAAATGGGAAACTTAAGACACAGTAAAAGGTTCTTAAGGGAGAGTAACATTGAGGAATTGTATGACAAACACCAATTTCATCCTGGCCATGTTGGTGGATCTGAGATAATCATAAAACAAGTACCAGGTGATCACCTGTTTCAAGCTAGAGCCCACAGGTCAGGATCCACACAGAGTGCGAGGGGTAAAACGGACTCCACAGAAAAAGTCATCAATACATAAAGACAAAAAATATCCATGGCATTGTATTAGAGCTGTAGTTTTATTGCACTTGGTGAAATAAGATGAAGTGGTACATTACACAGTCCAGCGTGCACTCCCCAGGCCGTCTCAGAAGCACTTCCTGAAGACGATCTGCGGCCCGTACTCCTCATATTCTTCCTGACTGATCCATGCAGAGCTGAAGGTGGGCAGGTTGGCCAGAACTGCTCCGCCGCTCCACACTGAGAAGTCTCTGTCTTTGGGGCTGCTGACGTGAACGCTCTCCCCCATGTCGGGGGGAACCAGTCCTTTGATTTCAGCCTCCAGACGCTCAGGCAGGCCAGGCAGAAGAGTGTTCCCACCTTCAGCAAGAGATACAAATAACAACAACCGGCAAAGACCAAAATTAACTGGAACGGGACCATTTCAAATCCACATCAAAGCATAGAGAGCATGGCAAGCTGTGCTTATGACTCACTGGCACAGCTCAAACAAGAAACAGCTGTTACCTGACAGTATGATGTTTCCCAGGAAGCAGCGCCGCAGGTCAATGTCTGAGCTCAGGATTGACTTGAAGACGCTTTCATGCATCCCATAATGGTCTCGTCCAATCAGCTCAGGTTTGAAGAGAATCTCAGGGGCCCTGGATGAACAGTGGGGGTGGGGAGGGGGGTAAGTCTGTTAGAAGCAGTAGCTTCGCTGTCTCTACAGTCAGACATGTGTGCAGCACCTGCATGTAAAGTCTCTCTGCTACTCTGGATCTGCAGTTGAGCTGAAGACCAAGGCGAGGCAGACAAGGTACTGATTACGCCCAAACTGACTGCTGCAATGTTGGCTCTTCACCTTTTTTCAGAACAAATTAAGTAATAGGGTTTTGACCAAAACTAGTGACACTGCCTTATACTCCAAGACCCTGAAGTAAAAGACCGTACAGAGGAACTGAAAGCAAATACAGTGATCAGGAACAACAATGTACATGATGATTAACATGATGATCTTTGTTGACTGTTGGGAGAGGACTCATGCTTATTATGTTTACCAGTGAGATGAATTATTACAACATTCTAAAACAGTTCTCACATTTCCAGTGTTAATACTGGTTTCCTTTAGGACCCCACTTAGTGTCCATCTGGAGCAGGTGTGTGGACAGTTACCTGAACCTCTCCATGCCCAGAGTGACCACCTGTCCGTCAGGCATGGTGTAATGCATCTCTCTGAAGGACGACCCCCCGCAACTCAGCTCAGCTTCATAGTTGAGAGCCACACAGCAGCACTTCTCCTTCATCTCCCTCACTATCTCCATCTCTGCTGTGGTGCGCATGCACACCCCTTGTTCCTGCAGAAGCTTTAAGCAGAGGGACAGCAAAATGGTCAGGGATGGCAGACACAGAACATTAACCTACAGGTTCAGAAGGCTGTCTGTAGCGCTTTTGTGAGGGAGCTTTGTCTTTGTGTAAATGTTCTATAGTGACTTTATATCAGGGATGAAACCACCACAAGAGCCACAATGCTTGCACCATATCACCACCTGTTCCACAAAGGGAGCAGTGGTTCTGCTGGAGAATAGAGGTGAAAGTAATGATGTGTTCTCTCAAAGTGGCAATTTGAGCTTCAGAGATGTTCACTTGTCACACTTATACAGTATACACGGTGTATGAGGGATATACAGAACACATTGCACAAGGGGATATTCAGTCATCATGCTAGGATGAAGTACTCGTTAAGCTGTTTTGATTTTTTTTAATGTTTTGACAGTTGAAGTTGTGCTTCAATCCCTAAATATTACCACAATAACTTCATCATTTCTGGTCTAAGCCCTGACCCTGACTAAATATTCTGAAAGTGTGTATTAAAAAAACAAAAAAGGCAGTGAATACCTTTTTAAGATGCATTGTAACATCCACACCAGCCAGAGGGAAGCGCTGCACTGCATGAGGTAGGCAGTATCCCTCAAACACAGGGACACTGTGGCTCACCCCGTCTCCAGAGTCAAACACCACACCTGCGAGAAAGATAAAACACACACACACACACACACACACACTGTTTGTTCCAAGAAAGACAGTACGGCTGTAACACAGCAGCTTGCCAGGATGAGACATTAGTGCTATTAAATGACACATTTCCAACACAATGCAAGTAAAGTGCATACAAAGACAGAATTGACCACATTACCAGTGGTCCTCCCCGCTGCGTACAGTGCCAGCACTGCCTGCATGGCCACGTAGGTGAAGGGAACATTGAAAGACTCAAACATGATCTCCACCATGCGCTGACGGTTCTCTAGGGGGCTCATGGCTGCCTCGGTCAGCAGGACAGGGTGATCCTCTGGATCCACACACAGCTGCTGGAACGTGTGATGCCAGATCTAAAAGTCCAGTCAAACATATTAACATATTTATTCTGGGTCCCCAAAAGTGTGGTGTAGTGAGTGATTAGCAGCTGACAGACACAGTAAGCAGCTGCATTCAGTGAAGACAGGGAAGGAAAGGAAGTGTGCCTTCACTTTGAGCTGCTGAACAAACAGGTGAACATTTCTTTGCATTTAGAGTACCAGGAAAGGGATTAAAGCATGACCCGAGGATCACGCCTCCCTTTGTACTAACAGGAAATTATCCTGTATATGCACTGATGAATGCCAAACTGCAACTTTGGAATGCCAATTCAATTCATTCTTCACATCCATTATAACAAGTAGCATTATCTTAGTCAAAGATGATAAAAATGAACAGCCACCACTCTACCCTGATATCAAATGCATACCCCAGCGCCACTGGAACCAATCCACCCATACATGCAAAGCAGGCTGGTTCTGACATTTTCAAAGCATTAAAAACACACATTCAGTTCTACATCCCATCTCATGTCAGGCATATGCATTCTTTTCACTCACCTTTTCCATTTCATCCCAGTTACAAATGATCCCGTTCTTTATGGGATGCTTCAGAGCCAGGACCCCTCTCATGTGTTGAGCCTCATGTCCAATGTAGGTCTCCCTTTCAAGGTTACTATTCATTATTTCCTGCAAAGACAAAAGACAAAACTGAGTTCTTCGAATGAGAAAAGCTGGCTAGAAGCAAAGCATCACTGTTCCAGAGTATTACTTTCGTAGAGCACAAGTGAAGTATATGCCCTTACCTCATATTTTGGCATTCCAATAATTGTTGGAAATATAATGTTTGGGAGGTCTTGATCTGCAAATCCTGCTTTCATCAAACCAGACCCTGTATCCAGCACTATGGGGGTCTTGAAAGCTGTCATCTGCAGTCACATCACGAAAGATAAATTAATTTGACTCAAATGAACGACAATGCTGGGGATGCTCAGTGATGGGTAACACTCCTCCTCTTAAGGCTCATGACTGCTTTAACTCTTTCAGGTGAAGTACAAGGGATATTTTTCATATTCAAATTATTTTTTTTACAGTGCAATTTCACTTTAAGAAGTTCCAACACTGCGGAAAACAGGCAGAAATGCTTTAGTTCAGAGAGAAGATTGATATAAATCTACTGTCTCTGTTTTTTATGTGAGAGACATTGAAAGATCAAACTAGCAACTCCACGTATTACAGCAGATAGTGTACCTCTCTCATGTTTATGTTAAGCTGGGCCTGAATCCCACATGTCCCGGAGCCAGATATGCTCATGGTCTCAGAGCTCTGAACACCATCAGCCACTTCTTCATTCAGCTCATCCGCTGGAGGCTGGTCAGGAGGCGGCTGGGAGGCTGACTGTTGATGTGGGCACTCTTCTGCAGGAGATAAGGTCTGGATTTCCTCTGCTGGGTGTACATCTCTCTGAAACAAACATGCAGGTACCACTGATGCAGCCTCTTCATCTTTGGTGGTCTTTTCAGGCAAGTGGTCCAAGGACACCTTGCATGTTTCTGGGAAAGCACGGTTATTATTGTTGTTGTTGCTGCTGTGTTCCTTCACATGTGGACTGACAACAAAGGTGTGACTGATGACTGGTGTCACATTATCTGGCAGTGCGTCACTTGATTTATCTTGTAGATCAAGTGGGACAAAACCAGGATCTTGAGCAACTAAAGACAGAGCCGGATTCTGCAGCCCTGTGGAATGAGGAGTTTCCTGTTCAGCGAGGTTGTCATTCACAGGATGGGAAGCCTTTCTTGGCTTAGGCACGAGAGGGAGGTGTGGCTTTCCACCCGGGTCGAACGCGCCATCATCTGGCCTCATTTCAAGGGTTAAAGAAGGTTCTGGTTTGCATATGGTAGGGTTTTCACCAGATTCATCTAATACTTTCCCACAGACGCATCCCTGAGGTTGGACTCCCTTCTCTTCAGGAGGTTCTGTCAAACCAGAAGTACTATTAGAGGTAGTTATATTTAATACGGATGGTTCAGCTTCAGAGCAATGATCTTGACTTTGGGAATCTGGGAGTTGAACCATGTCTTGGAGCGTAGCCTCTTTGGTAACACCAGGACCCAATACTGCTTGAACATTTTCACTTTTACAGGTATCCTGGGTATCCTTCTGGACCCCAGATGTTGAATGCGTTTTCTGTGATCTGTTCCAACAACCTGATAAAAGCTCAGAGAGTGCTCGGTCCTCCTTATTCTCAGTTCTAGCCTTCTCCATTACAGAACATTTTACAACCTTTCTACCCCTCTCCTTTTGTTTCTTCACTTTAAGCTCTTTGCCCAAACTCTTCTCAAGCTTCTCCACCTCCCTTTTCTCCTTTTCCAGTTTTAACCTAAAAGCCTCCCTCTCTTTACTCATACTCGACAGCCCGTTCACATCCAAAGGTTTGCTCCCCATGAGTTCCTCGTTGGGGTTTTCTTTGCAGTGTCGCAGCTCGTGGATCTTCAGGTTCTCCTCCATGATCAGCTCATCCAGGACATAGACTTCCCTTAGCTCTGTCAGCAGGCCAAGTCTGCTGTGAAATGCCACAGCGTCTGCTCCTGAGGCAGCGTCAGTGCAGCGCCAATCATCTTCAGGAGCCTTCGTTTCACTTGCAGATCCAGTTGATCTGGGTTCACTGAGGTTGTCAGATTCTGCAGGGATATGATAATCCTCAAGGCCAAGAACACCAGCTTCAGCCAGCTCACTAGAGGACATCTTTAAAAACAAGCATAAGCATAATGAACAAATGTTCTACTGCAGCCTGCAGTTCTGACTGAAACAAGTGAATTTTAAAAGACTAAAATGCATATTTGTCACATTTTGATCAACTAAATCAAATCGAGCTCAAAAGTGAACAGAGCTGGCTACTCTTAACTTCTAGCCACAAGGTTTTTCCTTTTATATCTTTCCAGAAGCAGAAATCTGCGTTTTTGTTTTTTTTTTTTAATATAAGAAAATTGATAGTCGGCATTTCCAGTGAAGGCCACCAGGGTTAAAAAGATCACCGCCTCCAGTAATACAAAGTTCGAGACAAAAAACCCCCCCAAACACTTCAGTTGGCAGTTTATCATCACTTTAGCCAGAACTTTGATCTCTGGGAAATGTAGTGAAAATCATACATCCTGGAGATTATGAAAATGATTTTCCATAAGTCACCCAAGGTCACTGATAATTAAGATGTTGCAGTTTGCATCTTTGACTTAATCTCCAGAAAGCTCAACATACCACACCGAGCTGGTCCTCACTGTCCCACAGTGGCCACGGATCCTGCTGGTCCTCAGATCTCAGCAAGGCATCCAGCACAGCCTCCTGAGCCAAAACACTTTCTTCTTTCTGTAGAGCAAGATGTTCATGTGACTGTAAATACTATGGAAGAAGTGAAGATACATCATTGGGCTCTTGTAACTTTGACATTTTAAAGACTCAGTGAAAATGATCACTAGTTGTAGCAGGATCCAGCCCTTTACTCAAATGGTGCATGTCTTACCTCCAGTATTTCATCAGCCCTGTCCAGGATCTTCTCCACTTCCCTCAAACCCTCCTGCTCCTTCACGTCCCAGTCCTTCAGGGAGATATCAGTCAAGCTGAAGAAAAGCAAGAGAAGTGCCATTTAACTGTACACACCAAAACTCTACAAACCAATACATCCCACTGGTGTCTGGCCGTTGCTAACCACAGTCAGGTCCACTGAGAACTAACAGCCCAGTCTGCGGCTTTCAGATGCTTTCATATCCTTGTCTTAGTCCCTGTGATGACTGGTGCATGACGACAGCTCCTGCAGAGTTTTAATACATTTATACTGTGCTTTTAACATTGCACCATCATCTTTTAGCAGGTAACCAAAATAAATAGAATGAAAGTTGACAATCCATAAATCTCTGCAGCACTTTAAGAGTCAGACTATGTGGGTTTTGAACTCATAAGCAACACATAGTTTAATACAAAACTGCTGCTAAGGTTCACTAAGGTTCCGTCTCTTAAGTTTGTGCTACTGTTAAGATACGTTTAACATTTACCATCAACTCGTATTTGTTGTTAGCCAAACTCCTCCCCTGAACAGCAACTGTCCAATCATAACTAAGCAATTGTAATAACCTTGTCACAGCAGACATTTTGACTTGTTGAAGTACGAAAAGCGCAGGTCAAACACATTTCATTGACATGGTTCAGTTAGCGATGACAGCGAGTCAGCAAGACCCTGGAACCAGCTCACCGAACTGGGTTTTTGTGCTAAAAGTAAAAATCTGCCAAGTCATTTAATTTCATCTACAAAAACTGACTGTTGCCACCTAGATATGAGAGGCCAATTGTAAGAACAGTTATTTGCTTAGATCAGACACTGTAAAATGTAACTAGGTCAGCTGTAACAGCCCGTCACTCGTGTGGATGGAACTCTAAACCTTAAACAGTAACCGCCTAGCTAAAATGAATTTGAATTCAGAAACCGGTGCATTACCCATCAACAGCATCCTGATTCTGGTCATGGAGGTCATAAGAATCCCAGAGAAGAGTGGGAATCCCATCTGTGGTAGAGATGGACTTGTCTCTTCCATCAGTAATAGTACTGGAGAGGATGTTGCAAATGGGACTTAGTTCAGCACCCTCCAAACTGCTCTGTGAATGTAGTATCCAGTCCCTGCTTTGTGGCCCTCCGGTCGGTGTTCTGCTCAACGCCTCGGTCTGTGTGGGCTGATCTCGATACCTGTTGGACTGGTTGGAATCAGTGCAGGGGTCTGAAGGATCATGGAACTGTGGGTCTTTGTTTTGCGCGGTCGGGGTCTGTGTAATAGTAACTGTGTACGACTTTTCCAGATCATCAACAGGCAAGCTAAGCCAAGGATTATTGGGTAGCGCAGCCGAGCGCTTGACTTTGATCTCCAAGTTGAGTGACTCTACAGTTACTTTAGGCATGATCTGGATGCTAGCCCTGGAGGAGTTCCCCACAGAGCCAAAGTCAAAGTCTTCTCTGTGATCTTCACAATCCGAAACACTGGAGAAATTGTCTTTGTGGATTTGAGGTTGGTTCAAGTCAAGTCTCACAGAGTCACTGGTCCCAGCTAATCTAGACAGACCTTCCGCTGCTTCTTTCCCTCCGCAGGCCTCCAGCTGGCTACTCCCGGCCCCATCGAAGCCTGAGTCAAACGAGCTGAGGGAGGGGGGTTTGCCCTCGGCTGATATTATTCCAGAAACTGATGTGGAAGGTGACGTTCTGAGAAGGTGGGCAGCTTCCTTACCGCCTTCACATTTAGGGAGGTCTTGAATGTCCTTAGCAGTTTGGTTGGTAGCACCGTCAGCAGGGGAATGATTTACACGGCTGCTCCACAACAACTCATACTGCCACTTTAAGGCCAGCTGGAGGTGACCGACAGCCACTGGTCCCGAAGAAATGAGGAGTTTCCTCAAGGTCATGCACCTGGTGAATAAGATGACTACTGTCAATTTAGCCATTGATAGGAATGTGTCTATGTTGATAGACCATCTGTCAGCACACTTTCTGCTCAGCCAAACTGTTCCACATCAGACCCAGCCACCTCAAACCTTTGTCTGCAGACACCGTGGTGTAAAAACTATTTGAATGACCAGTATCTAAAGAAAGCTTAGTCTTCTTTTACTGTACGGGAACTTTAGAAAAGGGAATCAGGAACAAAAAGCGTCCCATCAACTACACTTATGCAAATAACTCCAGTGTATATAAATGACTCCTAATTAAAATAAATATGCATAAAGTTCACTGGTTAAACACAAAGTACACCTCCAATGAGCCAATAGTAAACTGCACTTCCAGGCAGAAAGGTGTGCTTGTTTAATAAGCACATGTTTCTAGTAGGGCTGGGCGATATGGCCAAAAATGTCAATATAAAAACTTTCATACCATTAAATATCGATACTTATCACGATAAATGTCTAATCATTATTTCTTTCTAGTTTAAAGGCAGATTTTTGCTTCTGAGCCCACTAATATTTCACATCTGTGAGACACTGCTGTAAGAAGACTAATCCAAAAGACAGCCATAGTCTTCTCTTCATCGCCTCTCTGTGAATAAATGCTCTCTCACCGCTGAGACATCTGCTTGCCCGCCTGCTGGACCTCCTCATCTGGGAGGACATTAGACAGATGAGCCAGATGAACCAGCTCCTCCATATCTGGTGGGGGATTCTTCTTCAGGAAAGTAGACATTCTGTGCCTCCATGCAGGGATCGCCCCCCAGTTCCTCCTTGGCCTCTGTGTGGAAACACCATCTCCACTTATGCCTGATAGCAGCTCCTGGAGGAAGTTCTCACAGAGGACCAGACTGTACCAGCTGCTGGCCTGTAAGAGGAACACTTACCAGTCAGATTACGTAGCATACACAATTATTTACTCCTTTATTTAAGAGGGACCCCCCCCCCCTCCACACAAAACCACATTTTAGTGCTGCTGTGCCGGCAGACCAATTATAAGCCACTACAAAATGTTACAGAAAACCATCAGGAAAGTTTGCGCAATGGTTAAAAACTACAGGTATCACAAGAGGTCTAACAGCCCAAAAAAGGAGGGGAGCCTGCCTCAAGTAGCCATTTCATGAACTGCAGTTGTTGGAACTTCATTTTACAGCCCCAGAGATTGCTGCTTGGTAGCAATGCGTTTCCACCCCCAGCTCTACCCTCTCGTCCAAATATTGTCATGTCTGGTTCCAAAAAACCAGATAGCAATGGCCAAAATGCCAGACTCAAGGCATCAAAACAGTAGTCAACAAACCAATAGGTGACGTCCTGGTGGCTACATCCACTTCTTTGATACAGTCTGTGGAGCGGACAGCAGTACAGAGGCCAGCTGGAGTCAAGTTTTACTCCATCTGAAGACAACTCGAGTAAAAAGTGTAATGAAGTTGTTGCTAAGCAATCTAAAAACAAAGCTGTCTGCATGTAGTGGTATATCTTTCTAATTCCAACATTAAGTTGTATTTAAAGTATAAATCATTTCTAATCCTGTTCTGAATTTATTCTATTTTGAAAATGGTAGGAATACTGCTGAGATAAAAACACGCCGATATGAGTTGGGCAAGATAAACAATACCCACCCCTACAGCTGGTCAGTGGCTTCACCCTGTCTTTGGGAGAATGAATACGTCACTGTTCAAGCCTTCACTGTTTAAGCAGTGTGATTTTGTGGGACACAGCACGATCACTTCCAGAGATGTGCAGGCTGTCACACTTAACTCTTTCACTTTTTATTTTTTTCTTATGTGTATAATATGAAAAACTGCAACTATATTGTTTGTTGTGTCTAAAAGAGTTTCAGTTTCTGGAGATTCAAGGCAGGTTTTTATCCACCTGTTTTTAGAAGACATCTGATCTGTGTTGAGCCATGAGACTGAATGCATGAAAACAGAAATGCTGAATGCCAACTTTCTCAAAATTTGGTCAAAACCTGTGCTACATTTGGATGGAAACCTAGATACAGAAAAGCTGCAATTCCTCATGTTGGAGAAGATTGAATTTATAGACTTTGAGAAATTACATGACACTGCATTTGATGGTCTCTAGACTACAGCAAACACCACACCAACGGGCACTGAGCACGAAGTTTCTCAATTTCTGAAACCTTGCCTTGCTGTAGTAATGATGGTATGTGCAAACTGCTTTAAGGGTTTGGAGAGTCAAGTGTACAGCAGAGTGGAGTTTCTCCTTCAGCCTCTCCAGATCCAGAACCCAGCTCTCTCCGGTCTGACCATTGAACGGCAGGATCTCCACTAACGTGTGGTTTACGTCTTCAGCACAGCGAACAAGTGCCTGTAGGTGAGAAAAAGTGGAACCACGGGGAAAATGACAGCAGTAACACGACACCGCTTGTGACTGATGTTACATATTCAAACTAACCAGGATTAGACACTTCAAGGACTATAAGAGAAAGGGTGAAAAACTAAAACAACAGGCTACAATGAAGTATCACAAGTTCTTACCATAGCAGGAGTGTGAATCGACGCCTCAAATTCGGACACCAACATCATTGCCTTTGCAGGATCCTTGACAATCTCTATTTTGTAAGGGTCAAGTTTGTCTTGAAGAAATGTTTTGATCTGCTCTGTGATCTGGAAGCAGAAGTAAAGACATTCCGTTCATAGATGTAGTTCAAAAGGTGAGCCACGGCTCACGGCGAACAGACATTTTAAAAAGGCCTCAATCATCCTGGCCAGGCCACCACCATACTGTTAAAAAGTCCATCGAGAAACAACAATTCATCACAATAGCAGGTCCTAGAAACATAAGATTGATTTCATCTTTAGTTGTGTTGCATTGGTACTTATTTTAAGAGGAGTACCATGCCTTTAACAACGACACTCAGGGCTCTTTCAAACCTGTAGCTCGGTTCATTTGGTCTGGACCAAGATTACCTAGGACAGTGAGTTCCGTGATGCAGACCAGTCTACAGGGCTGACACATGAAGATTAACAGCTATCCAGAAACCAACCATTTAACCTAACCTACGTCTCGAATTACCAGATGATTTGCATAAAATACATATGTTGCTTATAAGATCACTTCCTTGACAATTCACAGCAACTACAGGATAGTATGGCTTTTCAATTCATGCTAAAAATCACATCTTCAGTCAGTTTTGCTTTTAAAACACAAACAACTTTTCAGGTGTTCTCTGCCCTGTTGTCAAGAGTTTGATTAACAGCTTTTACACCAGCCCAAATGCACCACAGTTACGGTGAATCAGACAGGTCAGGTGTGAAAGCACCCTCAGATCCAAATGGAGTCCACTAACTCACCTGTAGTGCTTCCTCTCGGAGCTGGAACACCTGCAGCTGGAGACGGGCCTTAGAAAAGGCCTGGTGCCACAGCAGCTCCACTTTCTCCACAGCTGCAGTTATCCTGTAAAATAATTAAGCCCTTTAGCTAACAGCTGGCCTCAGTCCATATTTATCATAACATACTGTGTGTCACTTAGTGGTTGCTTTATCTCAAACACCTTAAGAACAAGATGACATTTGTATTTAATTGACAGTCTAAATGCTTTTTCATGCTGCTCTAGCTTTACACAGATGATTCCAGAGCGAACCGTTGTGATTTTGGTGCCATGAATAACCATAACACTTGAGCTACGATTATGTAGATTAACACAAACAAAAGCTAGTCTAAAGCATGTTGGCTCTGTGCTTCAGCTGTTCTTGCAACACAAGACCTTTGCAACATTGTTGTATGGTATGCAGGGGAAGTGTTATTACAGAGGATTAAGATAAAGGCAAGCAGTACTGTGTGTACTCTGACTGGGCATGCTGGGGGCTGGGTCCCTGCAGTACCTGCTGTGGTTCTGCAGCATGTCAAAGGCTGTGTGGGTGAAGAGGGCAGTGCCGGCCATCGCCTGGTAGCACGGCTCCTTCTCAGGGTAACGCAGCTTCTCCACCATACTCTCACAGTGCCTCAGCAGCTCATCCAGCCCCAGCTCTCTGCACCCCCAAACATCCATACAAAGAATGTGAGAGGAGATTAGAAATACAGCCTAGACACTGCTAATGTGGCAAAAGGCTGATTTCAGCAACCACCACTCCTGTGTTCCAAAGGCGCATTCTGTAAGATGATCCTAAATTACCTCCTTAAAAGTACTCAACATTAGAAAGCCTTGTGCAGTCATCTTAGCACAGCTCAGAACTGTTTTGATGTTTAAAATAAAACTGGCCATCTTTGGGCTACTTCAGTATCTGAATCAAGAGCAGGTTTGCATGTGCTCTCAAAATGGCCAGAAACAAGGAGCTTTCTATATAAACTCGACAATCAATTGCCGTTTTAGAAAAGGAGGGAAACTATTGTACAAGGCTGTGCACTTCACTTCATCCAACAGCACAAACCGGCTTTAAAATACTTCATTCCAACCCTGCTCTCAATGTATTCTTGAAAATAATATACTTTAAAAATAAATTTAGTAATGAAAAAGAACACGAGTATTGATAAAGAACCGTTAAGAGTAGTACCATCAATAAAATCCTAACAATACCATCTGACACACTGTGTCCTGAATCACTTTATTACATATAAAGATTAAAAACATGACAGTTAACTTCAGTGTTGTTGTTACTTGATAACCGCTAATAAATAAAACTATTTGTATAAGGGCAAGCAAAAACGACTTGGCGAGTACTCTGACCCCCGTACCCGACAGGGCAAGTGCAAAAAAAAAAAAAAAAAAAAAAAAAACAACCCTTAACCGTGAACCTGACCTCCTGAGCTGCTGGAACTTTGCTTCGTTGGTGAAGCAGAAGTGTTGGAGCTCTCTGAAGGTGGAGGGCAGGGGCAGCCTGGCCAGAACCTGCAGGGTGGAGATGCACGAGGGCAGCCGCTGGACTACAGACAGGAACTCCTGGACAAACGCATCGATCTCCTAGAAGGAGCAGCACAGAGCCAGAGTCTGTTTAAAAGGCCACATCATCAATAAGACCAAGATGATTCATGAGACGTTTGCAGTTGTGTTGGAAACAAGGCCATGCTGCAACTTTTCACTATGAACATTTGTTTGGATTAGCGTGGGTTTTTAGATTACGCTCTCTTTTAGTCTAATTGTGATTCTTATAATAAATCAAGCTGACCAACGGAAGCCGTAATTGCTCAACACCTACAACCTAAATGTAGGTCTGGGGGAGATGGTACAGTTGCATCCTGAATAGGTCTCCTATAGACAGATCTGCCATGGCTAATGAACCCCGTCATCACGGCCAAATGACTGAATGTATAATGTCATGCAAAGAGGGGCTCCTTTCACTTGCTAATAAGGTCAGCTGATTACGCGAGGCATTCGCACAAGCTTCACCAAGGTAACAGACAATAGATGCAGGCCGCTTGGACGGATCTCATGAATAGATTCACAAATGAAAACATCTCCTGAATGATGGAGCTGAGCACGCTCTCTATCACAACAACGCAATATTTACTGTGGCTGGAATATTGGATGTCAGATTAACAGATTATTATTATTATTATTATTATTATATTATTCTGCTTACGTCTGAAGTAGCACACAAATATGCTGGAGGGTGTATTTGTGTGTACACACACAGAGCAGCACAATGTTACTCTGTGTTAACGCCCCTGACTGATCATAAGACAGCTTCAACTGTTTTGCTTTGAATCACTGAGTTCTGTGTTTCACAATCAGAGCTGGTCAGAATGGTTGATTTATGGGCGGATGCTAATTTATAGCATATATTTACTGAATAATAGTATATTTGTCAAATACTTGGCCTCACGCAAGAACATTTTTGTATTCTAATCCTGCATCTAAGGTTAGCTTGTACACGTGTTCCAAGCCAAACCCTCTCAACTGTACAAACCTGACTTTAAAATCGCTTGTTTAACCTCAGTGAATTCCTGTACACAAGAGCTGTGATCATTAGCCTAATTCACACAAATTGCTATATAAGTCTACTTTGGCTGCGTTTGTTCAGCCCCATTTGTAGCAAAGTTTAATTCACAAAAATGTCACCCAGGAGCAAAAAGAACTTCAGAATTTCCTGTTAATAAACAGAAGTGATGTACTTTACCATTTTGTACTCTACAGCCTTTGTTGCACATATATACACACATACACACACAGTATTATGCTGTTTTGACTTGTCCCTGATAACTTTACCACTGTTTAGTGTCTGGTAGTGATGGGCAGATGCTTTTTTTCCCCATTTGTATTAAACCCCCCCCGAAGTGCCACCAGACCTTGCTCACGTGTGCTATGAAGTCCAAGAAGCCTGCATGTTCTTATTAAAAATGCTGCTGCAGAGGTTACTGTGCAACTCGTTATAATGTAAAATAACATATACATTACCTGGTGTCAAGGTCACTGGTGCATGTCACTATATTTCTCTAGTTTCACCTCTAATCACAGTAATGTGCATATCACAGTTTAGCTGCAAAACCTTAAGACAATCTGAACTCTGAAGCAGCAGTGACGTTTGAAGCTTCGGCTGTCACTCAGGGCGGCTGTGGCTCGAGATAGAGCGGGTTGGCCGTTAATCGGATGGTCGGCGGTTCAATCCCCGGCTCCCCCTGCATGTCGCAGTGTCCAAGATACTGAACCCTGAATTGCCCCTAGTGGCTGTTCCACCAGTGTGTGAATGGTGAATGCAGATGTAGTGTAAAAGTGTTTGAGTGGTTGAAAAGACTAGAAAGGCGCTATACAAATACAGAGCATTTACAATTACATGGTAGTCTTCAGTTGACACAAGCTCCAACACAATGTTTTAAAACCGTATCAAGTCATCCACCCATCTCTAGTGCTTAGAGAATACCAGCCACTTTGTTAACTAATCACAGCATCTGGTCACCAATACAGTAGCTACTCTTGTATAAAGTCCTTAAAGTAGACGTTTTTTATTTTAAGATACCCAAAAGAGGATAGTAACAAAAATGTAATTATAATTCTTGTATTTCCAGCCTCTTTGTTCACTACTGCTGCTTTTTTCTACATTGTTAGTTAGTTAGCTAAGCTAACTCCAAATCATGGAATCTAGGGCAAAATAATGTACAGTTAACCCAGTAGTACTTATGGGTTCCTTGGATGCAGTCAAGAGCAGAGCCACTGACAGAGGTATGACATTTTCCAAAAATGATTACCTTAATGAAGGCAACCCAACTGTGGTGACAGTAAATGAGGTAGCCGCCTAACGATGCGGTAAGCTGGCTTCGGTCAATGTAGATGGAGAGCTCCGAGATTTCTTTCAGAAGGATTTTCTGCAAAAAAAGATGAGATCAGTGCTGCCTAGTGAAGTCAATCAAAACAACCCCAGGGGTATGGTATGTGCCCTTTCATTCACCTTCACAGAGGCAGTGTAAGACTTTGATGGAGCTAGGAGTTTCAGCAAACGCTTAGCATCCTCCTTCTTTTTGGGCTGAATTATGTACACACTGTGGACAGTCCGTTTGTGCAGCTAGAGAGAAAGGAAACATATTTTTATATTACATATAGTCAACTGACTTGGGTTACTCAAGCAGTTGAGTCAGAATTCCAGCAATTTAATATTTTGCTTCCATAAAGTTGAAGGATCCTGAGACAGATTAAAGTCAAAAATCTAATCAAAATCAAAAGCAGCAGAGGCCAGGATAGGGTAAGCTCTGAAGACACAGGATCCTCCAATACAAATAACACAGCCAGCATGTTTCGGTCTGGAGGTGTGGGGGTCAGAGACATGTTCGTTTATGAATCTGTTACCAAGACTGTTAATAACTATTCTCCAAATCCAAGCCCAGATGTCATCAGCAGCAGCAGTCATTTTCTCACTGGACGCGCACGCACACACACACACACACACACACACACACAGCTCAGGCTTACTTAAGCCTCCCATGTGCACTATAGTCCTTCTCTGGCTTAGCTGGCCTCTGCCGACTCCCTATACATGAATATATCTGTCCTTTCCTTTGTAATAATTTTATTTGTAAGAAAAGAGAATTTGTGCAGCAAGTGACCTGCAATTCCAACTGTGGCCCCTACACCCATGACCAGATAAACCTGTCAGGGAGTCCCAACGCAAAGATTTGGTCTTGGCTACATATTGACCCCCAAATGTGCACAATATAAACCAAAACAATAAAGATCGCAACTACATTTTCACACAGGGCCCCTCCACAAGACAAGCTACCAGCGGACCAGTTTGAAATATTGCAGGGAGTAACAGAGAATCAGGAGCAGCACAGTGAGCTGAGAATAGTTGATCTGGGCGCAAAAATGCAGCATCCCCTACATAACTGTGGTCATTTAAAGTCATTTCACTGAGGCTTCCTATTAAATAACCAAGCATGTGACCAGCCATGCATGTGACCCCCACCCGCTTCCACACACACACACAATCAGACTACAGCTCTTTGATTCAAAACATATGTTGCATAACTTTATGCTGCAAGAAAGAGCTGTGCTAGTCAAGAGGGCACTCACAAGTTGAGCACGTCACTGTACAGCGAGTCCTGTTCATGCATAATTCAGACAGAACCAACTGCACAAACACCCAGCTGCCGTTTCACATGAACCCTGCGTCTGAACTCAACTTGTACAATACTTTAACTTGCAACACGCACGTTTGTTTTTTATATATAGTGTACTATAATGTTAGAGTTGTACTTTTCTCTCCCATAGGAAATGAAAAGTTGAGCCATCCTTTTTGGTAACTAGAATGAGCATTGTGTGCTGCGTTTCTGGACACTGATGTGAAGACGTTGCAGGTACCTCATGTTGCTTTTTAGGGCTGCCAGCATGTAAGGTAACAGTACCCGGTGCAGCTTTCAGGGCAGTAATGTGGAATCCTAATGGTGACAGGGCTTCTTTTCCATTGACAGTGGTGTACCTTATAGGCATGTATTTGAACCATCTTTCAAGTGTGTCATAATACCAATGTGGTATCAATCTGGCGCTGGGAGATAGTGTGCAGGCTGTGCAGTGGGCTGCACAACATGGAAGCATGCCAGAAAAACATTTGTGGCTTATTTTTTCATTTAAAGGGAGGGGATATTCAGCTTTTTGGCTTTCCCACTTTCCTTTCTTATTTTATATATCTATCTTTTTGTGCATGTAATGGGTTCACAAAGAAAAAAAAAAAAAAAAAAAAGGGGAGTTCCCATCTCCCACAAAACAACTCGATTGTAGTTCAGCCTTTACTTCCGTAAACTATCTGCGTCACTATGTCACATGGGTTGCCCAGACATTGATTTATTTGTGGCGGCCCACCACAATATTAACGCTGACCACCATATATTGATTTGATTTTAAAAACACTAGTCCCATTTAAAATCATATCTGACTGCAGAGCTGCGCGCAGTGCATCTATTCACGCAGCACCTCCTCTCCCTCTCTCATGAACGTCGCTGCACAAATCTTTCCAACACAACGCATTTAATAACGAAGACCCACCTTTAAAAAAAAAAAAAAAAAGCCTAGCTAATAAGGATAGCTATTTTAATGTTAGAGTATAGCTTGGTTGTCGAGGTTAGCACGCTGTATTAAAAAACAAACCACACACCACACACACTTTACTCCACTCTGAAACTCTTGCTTCAGTCTAGGTCGAGAAGCTGGTTCGGGAAAATGTACAACTCATCCGAAGCCTGGTTACCAGCTTGTCAGGACCCACCTTCTGATTGGCTAGTAGTTGTTGCCTTGGTTCTACGCATGTGCAACACCCAAAAAAGATCAAATAGAAGTCCGATGCTTCACTTGGTAGATAAAACGGAACGGTTAACACACTGGCTGAAAAGAGGTGCTGATATTCATGTTTTTGAAAATTAAACCATGTAAACCTATTCTGGCACAACCTCTAAACCTGAAAACGAGCATAACATGACCACTTTAACGGTTTTCATGGGAGTGAACCGGCACCATCTTGGAATCCAGTATTCTCCTCATGCATCCATGGTCAGTCCATTTTTTTTTTTTTTTTTTTTTATTAACCTATTACTGGGGAAATCTATGTGTCACTTTCTGCATGGGGTGGACATCTAGTTTCAGAGCAAATATTGGAAACATGCTGCAGGCCAGTTTCAGCAGCATCAAAGCGCACTCTGCCAGTACCTCAAGCAGAAGCAGAGTCTCAGTGATGAACTTGGTTGTAGGGAGCGAGGCATGCCTTAGATCAGCCACCACTGACACCAAACTCTCCTTCTGCTGCTTTTTACTGTTGAGAAAGAATGATCCAAGCATCAGCGCTGCCTGCATTACCTCTCACATGCATATACCAGTATACACAATAAGCTTTTTTTGAAGCCACATACTTGTGCAGAAACAGAAAGTAATTTATGAAGTCCACCACTTCTGCTTTGCTGAGTTCTGAGGAGAGTTTGGCTTGTCCATCCACTGGGAACACGATCAAAGGGCAACCATGTTGATCAAACGCACCTGTAGACAGATTCAAGTGAAAAAAAACAAAAAAAACTAAACATTGTCTAACATTTACAGGGTTCCCAGAAAAAAAAAAGACAGGTGTGGCAAACTATTCTATTTGGTATCCATATTTAGTAAAGGACATTTTAATCTGACACAGGCACTGGCATTTAATACGATTCATTTCGGTGTCTTTAATCTTGCAAACTTAAACTGGACTGCACACATCTCAATATTTAATTCACAAAACGTTGTTAGCGTTGTCACTTCAACACACTGACTGGGAAAGTGTTGAGATAAGCAAGAAGTCTTAATTAGTACTCTCCCAGCCAAGCTTGCCACAGATGCAGGGTCAGCCACACACGGCTGCAGATGTACAGTAAGAGGCAGAGCAGTGAGGACGAATAGCTACCGGGGAACAGCACAGCTCCGGAGTTGAGCACATGATCAGCAGGCAGCGGCGGCGGGGAGGGGGGGCACTCCGGGACGTCTGAAAGGTTCGTGGGAAATGATTGTTTTTACTGAAAACACGCCAGACAAGACTTTCCAACCCTCCTTGCTATATGGCCACTGGAGGAACCGGTCCAGCAAATTCCTCACCGCTTCTGAAAAAGCTGGCTAAAGAGCAGCAGCCTATAAAGTGATGAAGACTGTAACTTACATTTACTTCATTTTAACCATCAGTAAAATACAAGTGGCCGCAGTCACAGCGCACGCGACCAGCTCCTTCGTAAAGGGGATGAGGACGCTGCTCGCGTGCTGTTTGTTGCCCTGTCTCTCCTACCTGTTGCGTGCTGACTCATTTCCCCAGCAGTGTTGGTCTCGTAGTGTCAAAGAAAAGTGTCCTCTCACTCTGTACCAGAGACATGACACAGAAAGCAGCTCTACAGCGGTGCTGGAGCACTGGACCGCGGCTGCTCGCTGCCTCTCTCCGCCATGTTGCGTCCTCTCAGCAGCGCTGTTTGAGCTAACCCCGCTGGCTGGATGCTGTTCGGCTCATTTATAAACCAGAGAGGGCGGAGAAACACCGAGGAGGCGGACAGGAGCGGCACACCACGACACACCACGGCCCCAGGCTGATGACAGCTGACCGGGTCAGCAATACTGCCGTCGTAAGTGGTCCCTGGTCAACCAAAAGCAATTTTCATTTTGGCCAATGTCCTGATATTTTTTATTGTATGCTCACAACATTTGAACTTTTGTTACCAAGATATGGAACTTGTTTGGAGAAAGATATACTGTACTGTGTATCAGGCTTCCGTCTGTTCAGGGACCTTTTAAAGTGTAGATTGTAACTGATAGTAAATGAATTGATGCAAACAAGACATTAATTCCATAACTTTGAGCTTAAGATAAAAAATTAATCTTTCTGGCTCAATATAGTGTTATCACTGGTGTGAGACACTACTGTGGGAGATTAAACCCTCAGACTGGGCCAGAGGCCTAACGGGCCCTCACTCTCACACTCTATACTCTTGGATATAGCTGTAACTTAGACTTTGATGGTTGATGAGAATTGTGGTCGTTTCAATGTAAATTGTATTCTATAGAATGACACACAGATTCCAATAAAGTTCAAATAAACTTAAGTTTAGTGATAATTTCAAGCAAATAAACAAATACATGTGTAGCCGAGCTGGTCCTAGGAGCAGACTCCTCACACTCAGTATTCATTAATTGATAAATCCTGTCTCACTCCTCCTCTTATGGGTCTTAGGGTCAGACCCACCTCCACACATATTCAATATTAAAACAATAGTATATTCTACCCTACAGGACTTCTAAAGACATAAAACACCTCCAAAGAAATACAATATCATCAATTTGACATCATCTTGATATTAGCAAAACATTGTACATGCATAAGACAATCAACATTAACACATGCATTCCAAGTTTGTGTGCTGTGTCACATGATGACCTACAGAGCTGCAGCCTTCTTGCAAAGCCCCCTTTGTATTCATAAATCTAGTCTACTACACTTATCAGGCCCTCCTTACCAGGGCCTCCTAGATTAATAAATCTTAGTTTACTCTTATCGTGCCTGGACCCAGGTGCTATCAACTTCCAACAGGGCCCCATTGTCTCTCGTTTGGATGTCTAATTCATGGTGTTCACCCTAACTTCTCCTCTGGCCAATTTGCAGCACTTCTTAATTGGCCATGTGTGTGTCTTTGCACAGTGTGATGTATGTGCGTGTTTGCTCTTGTGAAGTCTGAAGCGTGTCTTTCTACAAATATGTGAAGGCCATAGGCTGAGAGTAATAAGGCCAAAGGCTGAGCGAGAAAACTGCAACTTAAAGTTCACCATAATCACCTTAATCATTATTCTAATAAACATGTTAAACATTATCCTAATCAAGCTACGCATATAAAATATTCAAACATAATAAATAAATATTTTCAACAATACCTGTGAGACACGTGACATACCTGTGAAATACTTGAGACAACTGTAAGATATTTGAGACACCTTTGAGACACTTGTGAGATACCTGTGAGACACTCATGAGACACATGTGAGACTAATGTGAGACACCTGTGAGACACATATCAGACTAATGTGAGACACATGTGAGACACATATGAGACTAATGTGAGACACCTGTCAGACACATATCAGACTAATGTGAGACACATGTGAGACACCTGTGAGACATATATGAGACTAATGTGAGACACATGTGAGACACATATGAGACTAATGTGAGACACCTGTCAGACACATATCAGACTAATGTGAGACACATGTGAGACACCTGTGAGACATATATGAGACTAATGTGAGACACCTGTGAGACATATATGAGACTAATGTGAGACACCTGTGAGACACATATCAGACTAATGTGAGACACATGTGAGACACATATGAGACTAATGTGAGACACCTGTCAGACACATATCAGACTAATGTGAGACACATGTGAGACACCTGTGAGACATATATGAGACTAATGTGAGACACATGTGAGACACATATGAGACTAATGTGAGACACACGTGAGACACATATGAGACTAATGTGAGACACCTGTGAGACACATATCAGACTAATGTGAGACACACGTGAGACACATGTGAGACTAATGTGAGACACACGTGAGACACATGAAACTAATGTGAGACACATGTTAGATGCCTTTTGAGATACTTGTGAGACACCTGTGAGACACATATCAGACTAATGTGAGACACATGTGAGACACATATGAGACTAATGTGAGACACCTGTGAGATGAAGAGGGAAAATGCTCAGAAACACACTTTCTCAGTTTATTCGTGGTCACTAAGTGTTGTATGTCTGAAACAATCTTGCCAGGAGTTTAGGACTTGCAAACTATAGGTGTAGGCTATGTATAGGATCCAGGATGTTTGGGGTTTGAACAATACTTGGGACTAAAAGTCAGGATACTGCAGTACTAAGTGCAGTGCTAAATCTCCGGAGTATACCTTTATACACTCTTCCTGTGTTCAGTCAATACTTTCATATTTCCTGTGTAGGAACAGCCAACCCAATCCTTCATTTCTTTTAATACACTGGACTGGTTTGACTGCATACCTTATGGCAACATCATTCTCACCCAGAACCTTAAGTCATTCATCAGTTTGACTATGATGTCCTACTCCAGTTAGGCCACAGACAATTACAAATGCAGGTTTAAATGGGAGAGATTGTTTCCATACGGAGAGACTTCATACTGAATCCAAACTGTGGGCTAAGCTTCATTAGACCTTTTTTGATTTGTCAGTCTAATCTTACGATTCTTACAGCCAACATATTATTCAGACTGCATACTGAAGTCTGAGAGTGTCCCCATTTGCACAGTCATCATACAATAGACTAATTTTATTACTATGAACACTTGGCCTCACTGATTTTTAACAAAGTAAAATTATTATTATTATTAGCTTACTTGTGCTTCATATAGAGGGTATGCGTTGATGTCACTTCCCCTTCCGGAACACGCTGGACTGAGTGGCAAAACATCTGTTACCATGGCTGCGTTTAGCAAACCGGGAGTAAAACAAGTGATTATTTGCTCAAATTAAAGGCAGTCAGACTCGATAGTGATCCTTACTGCTTACCAAAGAACCAGTGGTCCAGTGGTCTCTTTCCCATTTTAGATGTGTTGTTTGTGATTTATCTGATTCAAGCTAACACTGCTGCTCGTCTTTCTGCCACTCAGTGAGCGTAACTGTGTTCTGTGACATCATGCGCATACCCTCTGTAGTGATTACTGCCATTGATTATTTACTCCAACTTCCTACATAACCAGATCATCTTGGGGTTAAAAGATTAGACCAACCTAAACTGTTTTGTGTCTTCACAAAAAGAATCCACGAATCCACCAAAACCAAACTGGTGATACACGGGTCAGTTTAGAGCCCTTGTTGTTTTTAATTTACATAATGCTCTGCTCAGTGTTGGTAAATCACTGTCATTATGAAAATGAAACTAAATCATACATTTGTTACAAACTAACTTGGGTGGGTACTTGCCATACAAAATTGCAGAAGTTTTAGTAGTAACAAAAGTGATTTGTTAGAATTGTCTTTATGCATGTTACAGGGGCCACACAGATTACTTTTTTGAAAGTTGAGCAATTCTCAGCATTTTAAAAATCAGCTAACTCCAGGTTTCCCAATTTGTTATTTCAAAAACTCTCTACCTTCCGTCTTATTATTTCAGCTTACACACTAGTACACACAACTAGGTAGTTGTGGGATTTGGAAAATAGAAAATCCCATTTACTGACAGAAACGTCTACTAAATTGTATAAATGAAATATGTTTAAATCTTCAAAGCTCTGCTCAGTGATCATGACACTTGCACATACACTTGCTGAGGTGGTTCAGAGGTCCTTTGTAGTTTAGACTTGGTGAACAGTGCTGAACTCTCATGTGTAATCTGTGGAGCCAAATCAGCCTTGTAGCACTTGTTGACTTTTTGAGCCATCTCCATTTCCTCCCTGTAGGCACCTGTCATGCTTACTTCTTCTCTTTATGAATGACATTGTTCTTTCCGTCGGTCACATTCTTGGCAGGCTTCAGTTTCAGCAAAAGAAAGAGTTTCATCCATTGTTTATCTCGCATATCTGGGTCAGAATTACAGGGGAGACATGACTTGGCACAAGTTCCCAGCCACTCTCAGGCATTATGGGAGATTCCCAGCATGTTCTACAGGTTTCTTCACTAACATCTGAAAATATAAAGAACACTATCCCATAATAGGAATAAAAATAGAAAATATGAAAGAGGAAGGGGGTGGGGGAAAAGAAGGTGCTGACCTTCATTTTGACAAAGACAAGCATATTGGGTGTATTTGTGTTGTTGTCCTCAGGGAGGCAGTAGAGGACAGGCCAGCATGAGTGAGGTGAGCATGAACATTATCAACAAAGTACCCACTGATAACCTTATTAACAGATACATGGTAAATGTGTAGCAGTTACTGACACGTGTATTTATCATTTTTATAGCTGTGACCTGGACAGTTGTTTTGCTTGCTCTGTATTCCAACTTGACTCTGGTCACATGTCAGGACAATGTTCTGACTCAGTGAAACAAACCCTTTAGACACTTTAATAAAGATCTGGTTAGCGACATCCATAAAAAAGGAGACTGACGTGTTCATTTTTACATGCAAGCTCATTATATTGCAGACACTTTAGACATTTTTAAAATGTCTGCCGATTAGTTAAAAAAACAGCAGAAATACTTGATCACTTTAAGTGAAAGGCTATCCTGGAAACTGATCCTCACTGCTTATACAGGAAGAGTGGAAATTTAAAATCGAATCAGATGAAAACATTGATCCTTCTATTAACTGCTACCTATTATTTGCAAAGAATTACAGACATTGTGTGAGTACAGTGTCATCAGCACAACTTTCCATTAATAAATATAGACCAGACAGACAAACAGTGGTAAAATCATCCCTATGTCTGTAGGGGGCCTGGAGGAAAAAAGCAGTTGTTTGCCCCTAATGAGGTACCACACGTACATTTCCCCATCACATTTTGCCCAACACACATTTCAACAGGACCTGGCCTCAGGTTGGCTGCGTGTTATTTGATTTGTGATGATCAGAATCTGAATCAGACTCAGTAAATGCTTTATTGCCAATAATTTTTACACGTACGAGGAATTTGCTTTGGTGATGAGGTGCTACACGTAGACAAACATACAGCTGACATGAATAAATGTAGAAATATATAAATATGGAATAGACAGATGTTATAAATATATAAACTGACAAAATATAAAATATAGAAGAATAACGATTAACACTTAACAACAAACCACAAATATGTGCAATATACCAGGTATGTTCAATGATGTGTGCAAAGATTTACAGTATTTGAGAGGGCAGCGGGGAGTGTGTGAGGGCCCCGGGCCTTGTTGATGAGGCTAGCTACAGAAGGGTAGAAGCTGTTTTTGTAGTGAGAGGTTTTGGTTCTGATGGACCGCAGCCTCCTGCCAGAGGGGAGAGTCTGAAACAGTTTGTGACCGGGATGGGAGCTGCAATCTTTCCTGCACGCCTCCGAGTCCTGGAGTTGTACAGGTCCAGAAGAATGAAAATGATTTGGCTAAACACAGAACTGTTTAAGAATATGAATCAGAATCAGCTTTATTTGCAATAGGTTTACACATAGGAGGAAACAGCTTTGGTAATTTGGAGCATAGCAATAAACAGTGAGCAGAAAATATAAAGAAAGATGGGGGGGTATAGACAGATCTTTATTGTCATTGCATGCATACAACGAAATTCTGTTGGAGCAATCTCATCTCTAATTAGCAGCTTATAGTAACAAATAGATACTCTAAAAATATGAGAATAAAAATATATTTAAAGATATATATGAGGGTCAGTGTCAGTGGGGCCTTGTTGATGAGGCCAGCTGCAGATGGTACACAGGAGGAGAACAGGGTGGGCTGGGGTTATTAAAACTTTAACATGCTATATTTTTGGGACCTAGTAATTCAAATTAATACTTTTGACATGTAATTTTTTTAAACTTAGTAAGTAGTTTTGATTTTAATTTTAACTTAATCTAGCCCATATCTCACAATAAGTGTTAGCTGTATGCCAGAAATGAGCGAGACATTGGCTCACTGTCGTTCGGACTGGACAAGTGTGGTCGCATGGTATCAAAAAGAGGGAAACTGATCAGAACCGAGGGGGTTGAACTACCAGAAGGCCACATTGCAGATGTTCAGGACAGCTACAAATACCTTGGGGAAACCAGGAGGAGGCAGCATGGAAGTCCACCACAGCCAAATACCTATAAAGAGTAAGGCAGGTCCTAAAAAGTCAGCTGAATGGGAAGAACAATATCTGAGCCATCAACACATACGCCCTGCCAGTCATCAGATACAATGCTGGTATAATAAACTGACCAAAGGAGGAAGTGCCCTGACGTCAAGACTAGAAAGCTCCTCTCAATACATAGAGGGTTTCCCCCCATATCCAGCACCTTGACTGTACACCAAGCGTAGCGAGGGAGGCTGAGGTCTAATTAGTGTCAAGACCACTGTCCAAGATGAAACAACAAAGATCCAGGAGAACATCAGGAAGATGGTCCCCAAAGATGAAGTACTAGTCATGGCGGCACAAGAACAGGCACTCAGTACAAGATCAATAGAGGCTGGGGTCTACCACACCAGGCAGGACCCCAGGTGCAGACTGTGGAGACTAAGGATGCCCCTGAGACATTCCACTGAACCAGACTGAGAGACCAATTAAAGGCTCAGGAACACTTTGCAGGTGTTTTGGATTAATTAGCTGATTAGAGTGTGACACTTTGGGCAGCGCCCCTGCCCAGGGATGGGACCCCACCATCGAGCCTGTGATTTTTTGAATGCACCCAACAAAAGCACAATACTATAATAATGCATACAATAACAACAACCATCAAAGGAACAAAAAATAGTTTAGAGCAATAACAATCAACACAGGAAAAAAGAGGAAACCACCCACTGAACCAAATTTAGAAATAGTTTGAAGGCAGAAAATGGTGGCAAGAAGTATGACTAAAGTTGCATCGACTAAATATAGATGAAAACTACATTGATTAAACAGAATATTAGCTCATCTCACTTAAAAAGAGTCCAAGATAATTTAGAAGCAGGAAAACTGTCAATCTGAGGGCGCTAGGAAGGAGCGTGTGGATGTATGAGTGAATGCTTGTCTATGTCTGAGTCGCGTCTTTCTCTGTTTAGTCTTTGCATGTTGTCCCTGCCTCGTCTTGTCCTGTCCTTATTAAAGAAAAGCAGGGAAAAGCAGTCCAGTAAGAGGGGGACAAATATTCTACTAATTTTTTTTCTTCTATGTATGTGGAGGTAGCCTTGTGCCTCTCTCCTTTGTTTCGTGTTGAGAATTTTGAGTTGATGTTGAGAGGACTGAAATAAAAATAAATAAATAAAACAATAATATTAATTGGAGCACTGGGGGCTGTGACCCCAAAACTGGGAGAGTGGCTCCAGCAGATTCCAGGTAAAACATCAAAGGTCTCTGTCCTGGAGAGTGCAGTCCTAGATACTGATACCTCTTGTAGAGGACCCGAGCCTGAGGATGACACATAACAAGGGGAGATTTAAATGTAATATTCCTTGCGAAAGTGAGCTCGTTTTATTTTGTAAGTTGGAACCGGAAGTTACTTTCCCACATGCTAGCCTCCTTGTTGACAGTGGTGCTAGTGGATGTGATGCGGGTGTTGCTGATGTGATGTAGTTTCTCTTTTCATTTTCGTAGCATCATTGCTGCTAGCCGACTACCATTGCACATCTCGATATGTTGTAAAGGTAAATCCTCTAACCTTACTTCGAAACGGGTCGTGGGAACATAAAGGTGAGATCCTAACGGACACTTGTGATATTATCTGCGTGTTATTTAAAGTCGTCACTGTGTTCAGCCAGCGAAAGGTTCATGACGTAAGGCTAACGTGCTAGCAGTGAGCGTGCCCCGTATCAGCCTTATTTTCTACACTAATCTACGTGAAGAGGGTCCGGTCATGTGGTTGGAACCCTGAGGTCCACTAACGATACAGCGACATGTGAAGGAGGCGTTTGTCGGTAACTTAACGGCAACTGACAGTAACGCGAACGTTAACGTTAGTTATCAACGACCTGCGTCTGCGCAGAAATGAACACGCCGCTCGGACGGAACGGGTTAATCGGGCTTGCTGTGGGGGCTACAGCGGGCTTGGGCTTGGTTGCCTTCATCATTTACAGAGAGGTCAGCAGGAGAAGATGCCAGAGAGTGGTGCTGGAGGCCCAGCCTGCTCCCCGGCTGTTCGAGGCGGCGGATGGAGCAGCGCTGCTGCGGGAGACGCTGGAGGCACAGGGTGGGTAACGGGCTCTGCTCTGCCCGGCGCTGGTGCGCTGATGTGTGTGTTAGAGAGAGAGAGAGAGAGAGAGAAATGCTTGGTTCCAACTGCGCAATCTCGTCAGGTATGGTGATAAATGATGCATACCACATGTGTGATGTTAGAGGTATTTTTCCCGAAATGCATTGCAGTTATTATCAACCACAGCTCACCGTAATCACTGTTTGAGTTCGAGATGGGTTGTATTGCATTTCATTGGAATTTCCTATTACAGGACTGTTTATTCTGAGGCTTTAACCTGGCCTGTGTGTGAGCAGGGTTTTAGGGCTTACTGGCCAGAAAACAGCAAATAACCTGATGGTTCTAACATTTGCAAAGGTGCCTTATCTCAGTTGTTAAAACCCTGAGACTCCTCAGACATGTATTTCCTACACTTAAACTGGAGGTAATTAAATAAGAGATGTGAGCCTGGGGACAGCATGCTGTTGCCCTTGCCTCTGCCTGCCACGAGGATAGCAGTCCACATGACCTCATTCTTAGCCTTGCAAGTTGCCCTTAGTTGGCCCACAAGGCTGCAGCCCCACATCACTCCTTCAGGCTGAGCCTGGCCATTAGGTCTCCTACTTCCACATGCTGACAATACCTTTACATGGAGGCATCCAGAAGACACCCTAGGTCTGATCAGTGGCAGGCCTGGGATTCTTGCTGATCTTGGGGAGGTAGCCCTTTGCCAAGGTTGCGCTGCTCCTTAAAGGTTTTTGCATTGTTCTTACTTTGAGACCAGTTTGCCCCCCCTCTTCCTGCCCCACCACCATGTTAAAGCGGCAGTTCACTGAAGCCACAGCTTTACAATTTGCTAGATATCTGGAAGGAATGAAAAAGAAGTCCATGGTATTGGAAAGAGCCAGTACATGGTGGTTCAGGCCTCATTAGGGTGTCTTCTGGATGCCTCCATGTAAAGGTATTCTCAGCACATGGAAGTGGGAGGAGACCAGGGTCCAGAAAGAGCAGGAGGACGTAAGTAAGGAGAATCTGATGTAGGGACATCTGGGCTGCTGCCCAGTCAGCCTGGGTAAACAGGGGAAAATGGATGGATGGATGTTCATGTTTGGTGGGTGGGAGAAGGGTTAGGGATTGGGGTACAGTTAGGGATTGACTAAATTACAAATCCAAACCCACATGTTAATATGTCCTGTCTCCTTGTGCAGAGGTGGAGGCCCAGCAGCAGGCTCTGGCAGCAGTGGAGGCAGTGGTGCAGGGCCTGTCCCCAGAGCAGCAGCTGGAGCTCAGGAACCAGCTGGACCAGGTGCTGAGCTGCGTGTCCTCGCTGCGCGTGGAGGTAGCTGAGCTGAGAGGCGGCCTGCAGGACATCGCCGTGCAGATCATCCAGGATGTCAAGTGAGTGGTCGGACTTTGAAAGCTGCTTTTTATGAAGGTGAAACATACGACCTATAGCACAGTGAGAGCTGATCGGTATCAGTCCGTGTAATAGAGGGGGGTGTTAGCTATCAGGATGTTCTGATAATGGGATCAAACAGACCACGTGAGGGTTGGGGCTGATGTGTTCGTGTTCCTCTTCGCCCACATTCAGAAAGGGAGTGGAGGACAATCAGCGGGTACGTCGGCGGCGCCACGTCATCCACAGGGAGCGTACCGACTCCACCGGCTCCAGCTCCATCTACTTCACTGCCAGCCAGGGCGTGGCCAGCACCTTTGAAGAGACCAGCGAAGGAGGGTATGTCCTGGGTTGGAGTTGTTAAAAAGGACTTTTGTTTTTCATTTGTTATACTGATGTATGTGACTGATGAACCGGCAGACAGATTCATTCATTCATTGTCCGATACTTAGCGTCCTTTTTGCTGTGATAGTCTTAGTTACTTGATCTTGTCACTTTAAAGCTGCTGATCAGTGCAGATCTTTTTGTTGTTCCTGTCTTTGGTCTGTGGGGCAGATCAGGTGTCTGAAGTCATCTGCCTCCTTGATTCTTGAAAACAGCCTGGCCTGTGAGTCCAGTAGAGATGTACCATTGTGTAGGGCTGTGATCCCGGATTTATACCGCTGTGGACATTTGTAATGGTTTCTTAACAAGCTTAATGAGCTAATTCGTGTTAATCTCTAAAACGATTAAAGACGGGTAAATAGTGCCACGTGTGGCTAATATTATGTAACTGACTGACATTTATTCGGCCCAGGTGTTTAGAATGAAGCTCGCACTGGGCTGGTGAGGCATGTTTCAGGTACCTGTGAGACGATGAAATAGAACCCAGGAAGACCGGCTTGAGTCCAAGACCGATGAGTTTGAAGGCTTATCAGGTGCACTTGATAGTACAGCATTCATGTTAATGTAGTCGACCAGGAAGGCGGGCTTGCATGTCACTGATCCATGCTGATAGATTTAACTGTACATGTCCTTGTTTTGATTCTGAGACCCTTTGTGTCCTAAACACTGTGAACAGCTTCATAGAGACTACTCTATCCCCATGTGTGTCCCAGGTACTCGACGGCCTATGCTGAGTCGGACTACACAGACCGGGACACAGACAGAGAGGAAGGTGAGCGGGAGCCTGAACATGAGTCTGAGGAAGAGGAGGACAGGAGCTGTGCCACTGTGCTCACCCTCCGCCAGGAAGACTCCCAGGAAGAAGAGGTGGAGGAGAGAGGGCTGGAGGAGGAGGAGGATGAGGAGGAGGAGGAGGAGGGGGGGAGGAGGCTGCATCTGTTGACTGAAGTTCCCAGCGGGGAGCTGGCCCTCCTCCTGGCTCAGAGTGACATCCTCCACACAGGAGACGCTAGCTTAAAGGCAGAAGGCTTTCGCCTGCTGCTGGACAACAGAGCAGAGGTACGGGACAGGACTCTGATCACATGACCATTTCAATTTCAAAACACTATTTATCCCCAAGGGGCAATTGTGAGGCCCGTAGATTTGTACAAATTAAATAAAAAACATATTTCATAATAAACATAGCCTAATAAATTGATAAATAAATAGACAGATGTATATGAGCGTTGTCACCAAAGTCCAAAGCAGCATTACTAAATGATATAAGTACATTATTAAACATTCATAAGTAATTATGTAAGTATAAGTAATTCAGTAATTCATGTACTGTATAGGTGGATTGTAGTGAGTATAAATTCAAGGCACAATGCAGCCCTCTGCTTAAGCAAAGATGGAAGAGCTGTATCATCAATGTACTTCATCAAGCGACAGTTTGACTGGGTGTAAAGAATAAAAAGCAGAGGTGAGAGGACAGAGCCTTGCGGGGAACCAGTTGATGTGTACAGGCCATCAGATAATGTATCATTGAGCAGGACTCTCTGTGACCTGTTGGTAAGAAAGTCCATTATCCACAAAATCAGTCGGTCGTCTAGGTGGAGAGTTTCTCAGCGAGGATATGTGGCAACAAACTGTTAAATGCTGAGGAGAAATCGGCGAAAAGGAGTCTGGCTGTCGTGTTGGGAGAATCCAGATGTTTGTGGATAGTGTGTAATACAAACCTTTGCATCGTCCACCCCTCTGCCTGAGCGATAAGCAAACTGAAGTGGGTCCATCTGTGCATCTGTTATCTTAATAATAATTAGAATAATGGGTTACTGTAGGACCAATAACAGTAGCTGCTTGTCTTGTCACACACAGTCAGGGTCAGTAGTCATTAAAGAACAGTCAGTAACCAGGCTAATTCCATGAGTTTAATGTGGGGAAAGTAATCTGATTACAGTAACGTGCAATGAATTACTGGTACTTTTCTGATTCTGTGTTGGCAGTATGGAGACAGCAGGGAGTTTCTATGGCGACTGGCTCGGGCTTACAGTGATATGTACGAGTCCACTGAGGACAAACAGGAGAAGAAGACCTATGCGCAGCAAGGTAACGGACACTCACCCTTTACCCACACACAGCATTACATCAAAGGGAAGCAAAGGTAGAACGAGCCAATCAATGAAGCCTCAGTGGAAATACATTGGAGAGAAAGGGCTAGCGTGGCCCTGCTTGTGGGCCCTGCAGCACGGCTCAGATGAGTGTCTCGCTGCTCCGTCGCTAGTTTACCTGTGTAGGTGGATGTTGAAAGGTAGGAGCATCTGCGTAGAGAATGTTAAGTAGGTAGCAGTGCTCCTCTAAGACGATGTGGAGGTGGTTCAGGGGAAACACTGAGCATAGAAAGAAAACAGCTCGCTACTTCTTTAAAACAAATTCTTTCTGTTTAGCAAATCTACCCAAAGTTAAAAACTCCATTTTACACTGGCAAGTATCCATGTCGCTAAGTATTTCAGTCTGAAGGTCCTCCACCTTTCAAAGACTGTGGCAGAAACAAGACTGCCGGGGCGACCCGGGTAGCTCAAGTATCCTGGGAGGAGGAACGTACCCTGCAGAACCAGAACTCAAGTGACGCTGTCTGCTCTCAAAACTGCTGCCTTGTGACGTAACATGACTGTTTCAACCTGCAAGACTATTGTGGTTTTTGTGACTGAGCTGTGAGCTGCTGTTGCAGGGCGAGAGGAGGCGGAGTTGGCCCTGAAGAAGAACGGCCTGAATGCTGAGTGTCACAAATGGTAAGATCAGTGATCTCACTGTGGGGTCACAGATGTCGCTCCCCACCGCTCACCGTTTGGTTAAATGTTGGTGTTTTGGGTTCCAGGTTTGCTGTGCTGACGGGACTGACCTCGCAGCATGAGAGCATGCACAGCAGACTGAAGAGCAGCCACATATTAAAGGTAACCCAGCACACTTGGTGTGTGTTAGCCGACACTGTGGTGTGCAGTATGTGACAGGGTTTCTGTCTTCTCAGGAGCATCTGGACCGTGCACTCGCCCTCAGAGACGATGACCCTGTGTGTTTCTACCTGCTCGGCAGATGGTGCTACGAGGTGAGACAAAGGGCTGTGGTTTGCTGTTGTCGATGACTCTGGTCTTATCGGACGACCATCAGACATTCAGATGTCAGGACTGTGAACTACAGGCAGCCACATCGCTCCAAAAGTTTAAATCTTTTCGTGAGACTTTGACCGCACTCGAACTTCATTCAAGACCCGAGCTTTGTGTGTCTCTGCAGGTAGCCTCTCTGGACTGGTTGGAGAAGAAAGCGGCTGCTGCCCTCTACCGGAGCCCCCCCACCTCCACCCTGCACGATGCCCTGGAGAACTTCCTCAAGGTACTAGACTGCTGTCGCTGTCCAGAGATCTTTGCTTTACTCTGATCTCGCTTGTTAATATGTCCTCCGTCCAACTCTGCAACAATACACACCCAGTCTGGGGGGGGGGGGGGGGGGCTGACCAGGGAGGGTTTTATGGTGAACACACTGCCGCTTCTTGTTTATTGCTATGGGAGTGTCAGGCTCGCTTTTTGTGTACACTGTAAATAAGCAACCTACGACTGTTGGAGCCAGACTGCCCTTTGTCTGGTAGTGTCTGTAGTCCTGGAGGCAAGGGGGGGGGGGCATACAAAGAGCTGGAGGCAAGGGGGGGGGGGCATACAAAGAGCTGTCTGAAGCTGTCTCCTGTAAATACAGGTTAAAAGAGTGTTGGCGTTCCCATATTTAAATATTTATTGTGGTATTTTTTTATCCTTTGATGGTATGACAGAGAGAGAGAAGCGTTGATGTCACACCTCAGACCCACACAGACCAACAGGGCTGAACATCTGCTTTAGCAAGCTTCTCATTCTGTATTCATTTTCTTTATGGACATGCGGGTGTAAAACACTATTTCATATATTAAATCTGTGACTTGAATTTCCAGGCAGAAGAACTCTGTCCAGGTTTCTCCAGGACAGTGAGACTGTACATCGCAAAGGTAAAGAATCAGATCATTGAACAGACTGTACCAGAGACTTTACATACATCCAGCAGAGAGAGCAGCTGAGGCAGCAGAACCGTTCATGATTCACATTTGTGACTGTAAACAGATAGGTCCACACTGAGGTCACTGACCTTTCAATGTCTCCACCATCAGTACAGTTTTCGGCATACCTGAAACACTGACTCTCTCCTATCCATTCATTCAAGCATAAAAGCCAAGGAATGATGTTAGTGTGGAAACTGAGCAGAACAGGAGAGGGCTCAAAGGGCGAAAGGCAAGCAGTAGTTAGTTTTTTAGTGTTATCACAGTTAAGGAATGATTTTCACAGCTCACATAGCGCGGTGTATTCTTCAGTGTTTGACTGAGACTAAAAACACTGTTGGTTCACTCGTAGTGTCACAAGGACCTGGGAAACATCTCTGAAGCCACCAACTGGACTGAGCTGGCTCTGAAGATGCCCACAAACACTCATGATGTAAGAGCACACTATTCTGCTAGTCTGCGCTGCTGATTACAGCCAGCGCGTCACGGAGATGCGTACCACTGACACGCTGAGACTACCTGCATGCTATAAGGTTTCATTTTTCACTGTTGTCTTTTCTTCTTCTGTAAGGATGAAGAGACGTCTAAACTGGAGGCTCAGCTTCTAGTCTTAACTGGCAGAAAAATCTGAAGACTTTTTCCTCCTGAGATCCAGCCTGGCACCAAGTGGCGAGTGGGGCCGCGCCGCTTTGTTGGTGGATTTCTTTGTATACTGTCACTGTGAAATAATCTGGAGTTTATTGATGTATATTTATTTTCTGCTAACTTTAATATGGCTTTATTGAGTAATATGCAGTCTATTGAAATGTTTGTGTTTTCATATTTCCTCCCTTCCCTCTAGTGGAATCTAGTCATGCAGGTGGTTTAGCTTGTCAAGAGACCGATAACAGAGCTGAATCATTTCTACTTGTACTAATGAGTCTGAGGTTGCAACATAGGGACTAACAGGAGTGCAGACATTTCTCAGGTTCGGAGGGGAGGACGTTCCCCCAGCAGTGAACGATCTGAAACAGAGCTGCTGATAGGCCTCATCAGGGATCTTTTTAGAGCTTTAGGGGAAAGAGCACTACAACTAATAAATCTGATGAACTACACCCTTTATTGCTGGGTCCATCTCAGTGTTTAGTGGAGACGCTTCACTGATGTAGAGAACACGGTTTTCTTACAATGTGTGCAGTTAAGCCCCCAGTACACGGTGCAGTACAGCAGCTGTGCACGGCCTGTCTGACTGTTCTCAGTGGACCAGGACAGCGTCTTCATGCTTTGCGTGGTTTTGCAGTCCTTTTATGTTTTGAAGTGGAAGTAGAGCTGCAGTATGTCAGCGGAGTGTTACTTTGTGATTTAACATTTAATGGCACTTTTTGTTTTTCTACTTTTAATTTATTGTTGATGAGGCTCATGCTGCAGACAGTGGACATCATGTTAAACCTCAATATTCTGATCCCATGATGAAAAGTGAATATGCACTTAACTGACAAATGGATAACATTGAATAAATTTCTTTTTTGGATTTTTCTGGTAAATTTGTTGTTGCATGTTTAATCAAACCCTAAGTCACATATGTGTAACCATCCAGAAAAGCAAGAACACTGCGGTAAGTATGGAAGCTTTAGCTTTCCATGATAACAAATGAGACATCAATTTAATAGTAAAACAAATGAAGCTTATATACAGAAGGTTCCGGTGTAACAAACAAAGGGGCATAGCAGTAGTGACAGACGAGGCGTTGCTTCCCAGAAATGACCAAAGTAAGGCTTTACAGGAGCGCCGTCACTGCAAAATAATGTTTCTCCGAAAACAAGTCAGACATCAGCAGAACTGATAAAACTAGAGGCACACTGCATTCAGCGAAGAAAACTGAGACCTCGTCTGTAATTATGACTTCATATCTCATAATTATGAGCTCATTAGTTGGAATGGTGTTTTTGGCCCATAACACATTAAAGATCTAATAATTACGTCATTAAGAACTTGGAATTATGAGACCTTTTTTTAGTGATAACGTAATATAGATCTTTTGGTCAGGTTATATTTTTTGGTAAATATAACGGTAAAGATTTCCTTTTACTGAACTTTCATATTTATGGATGTTGTAAGTACATAGTAGAGATCTGATGAGACTGTAATTATGAACTATCATAATAGCACAGCATCTGGTAATAACGAGCTGCTGTATCATAACTGCAGAACGTCTCTCTTTCCTTAGCTGAGTGCAGTGTGCTTCAGTGTGAAAACTGATGCACCACTGGTCTCCAGAAGGCCAGGACCATCTCAGAGTCTGCCTCAGTCAGCACCAAACCAAATCATACAAGCCCTGACCTCCACATCTGGATTAGCAGGATTATCAGTCTGAGGCTTCGTGTGAGGCAGCAGTACACACAACACTTGAGTCCAAGAATGAGTCCGCAGGTGTGACGGCAACACCGCCCACCGCGCTCTGTGCTCTGGCGGCTCAGTCCTTGGCGTCGCCCACTCCATCAGCATTGATGGCAAACATGGCTTCAGCCTCTGGCAGGCAGGGCGAGTCGTAGATTTTACAGATCCTCGTCTCTCCTCGGCCTTTCCTCAGGTACAGGCTGCAAAGACATGACCCGTTTTAACGGTGGTGCCATCTTACAACCATCAAGCTGCACTTGTTTAAGCACCCTGAGTTCTGTTAAAGCTGTCAGCAGGAAGAGACGCACTGCATTGCTCACCGTGTGGTGGAGGCGTGAGCCATAATGTTGCCTCCAATTGGTTTCTTGGGATCTGCAGAAAACATGGCTGCCCCATCCACCTGTGCTACCACCTGGTTGGTTATCACCACGGCAACACCAAACTGTTGTAGGATTGGGGCAGACAAACAGTCATGTTAGAGAAGGCTGAGTTTGAACCCTCCCCATTAAAATCCATCACACTGTAGGTTCAGAGAGTGAATATGACCAAACTGGAATAAAACTTCTGAATGGCTGTCACATTGTCTGGGATACTTGATGCTACAGTCAGAGCGTGGCGTTACCAGGCAGTACACCTGCCTACAGCCGAGCCGCCTACCTCGTCAGCCAGCCGCAGCAACATGCGCAGGAAGCGTCCCAGGTGTCCCTGTCTGGCCGACAGCTCACCTCTGCCCGAGTAGTCTGTTCTGTACAGAGCTGTGGCGCTGTCCACTATCAGCAGAGCATACCTGCCACACAGTGAGAGAGTGTTAGCTGCAGGGCTGCACAACACTACAGGAGGTATTCAGTTACAGAGGAAAAGTACACACAGGTATATTTATAGACCAGTTAAGCTTCCAAAGACAGGTCTGCTGAAAGATTTACATTGGAAGTGTAAAAGTGCAGCAGGTGCTTTGTTTTATTTAATGTCTAAATAATAAAAACTCTCAGACAGCATCTGCATCAACAGCTGCCGGACTCTTAGCATCTGTGCTCAGATGCAGCACAGACACACAGGTTAACCCTCTGTTAGCACGACAGTTTGTGCTGCCTGACCTGGACTCGGCCATCATGGCGGAGGCCTGGTACAGCAGCTGGGTCTGATGGTCTGTGTTGAAGGCTCGGGCGTAGGCCACGTTGTCCAGAACGTCACTGCCTACCAGCCCATACCTGATGGCAAAGAGAGGCACATGAAACGACGGCACCTTCCTGCTATTTGAAGTGGTGCAAAAAGGCTGTTTGTGCATGTCCCAAATCTGAATCTGCCTTTCATCGCTCCAGTTTCCCCCAACCTCTCATGTAATTCCAACCTTTTCCCTTCACAGAACATTTTCCTACAATAACAAACATGTTCGCAGTGCAGAATGTGGGTGTGCTGAGCTGCACTGCTGGGCTAACAACTGTTGAGCGCTAATCTTTGCATTCAAGCTGGAAAGGAAAGGTGCGGACTGGCCTCTCCGCTACAGCGAGCAGTCTCTCTGGTCTGAAGGTTCCCTCTGTGTCGATGTACATGGCTTTACCTTCTCCGCCCCCCTGATCAATGGGCAGCTGTGGACACAAGAGACATTTTACAATTTCCAGTGCTCACCAGTAACCAGTACATACCTTTATTGTGTATACTGGGTATTTGTTCTTCTTCCAAATAGTTATGAGTGCTTTTGAACTGAAACAGTCTGAACTACAGACAAATGCCAGTGGATCATATTACATTCCACGACTTGTCCCGACAGCCCAGAGGCGCTCTCTGCAGTCAGTCTGAACTCTACCTGACAGGTGACAGCCAGCGTGTGGCACAGCTGGGTCTTCCCCGTCCGAAACTCTCCGAACATCTCTGTGATGGAGCCCGTCTCAATCCCACCTGCAGGACAGACCACAAGTCAATGCGGCACGCTTACTGTTCCTCCCATCTCCAAGTACTCCGTTCACATCATGATCCCAGGATCTGTCAGCCTGGGTCTAACGTCCACTGGGGCATCTCAAAACAGCTCTTTCTGGATGATATACGAACCCTGCAGGAGTTTGTCCAGCTCCTTTGAGCCTGTGGAGATCTGGATGATCTCTGCCCTCCTCTGGTGGAACTCAGTAGCTGTGGTGAAACCCATAGGCACAAGTTTGGCCGCTTCAGCCTGAGGAGGAAGGGCAAAAGGAAATGACCTAATACAGAGAAACCTAACAAGGCAGAAGAAACAGAGCTGAAGAGATAACCTGGTTGGGTCGAAATATCAGCAGATATTATCACAGGTGATACACGTGTGTCTGTCTTTATCTCTGCTGACAACTAGCAGTAAATATCAGCACAGATGTGTTTGAGGTCAAAGTTCTCAAGGGTTCCTTTTAAAAAATCTGATTATCTGCTGATATATCACCATCAGAATATTAGTGGATCGAAGTATCCCCGGTACCAGCCAGCTTGGACTAAGAGGCTGAACTGTTTCAGTAAGGTCAGAGCATGTTGTGTAATATCTACTGAGCACCTCCCGTGCAGAGACACAGCAGCAGTTGTGAATTTGCAAAGGCATTACAGTGTGACACAGAGACTACTGTCGGCCAAAGAAGCCCAGATAACTGGGGTGTTACAGTGATGCTGTGGCCTCTGGAAACCTCAACAACAACCATTCAAACTAAGCACTGGATCATGAAGCATGATTCTGCAGCTGACGGCCTTTTTGTCAGATTTATTCAGCGAAAGAATGTCTGGGTGGTTTTGGAGAAATGACAGCTACATATCTGCAAGTCTGGCTTAAAATGCCCCTTTAGGGCTAGGCTTTTCACAGATTACATAAAACATTACTGACACAAAGTATCCTCATGTCCACTTGCCCCCCTACAAGAAGGTGGCAGGCAGGCTGAATGCTGCATAAGGACAGTCCAGTAAGAACTCATCAATCACTCTGGGACACTGAGTAACATTTCTTACTAGGATCTTGTCAGCCTTGGCCTCGCTGATGCCCTTGATGTTGAGCAACTCCTTCTTGGGAGCATAGGCCACTGCCTCGATGGTGTGGAAACCTGCGTCCTCCAGCTTCTTGATGTCACTGGCACTGATTCCACACTGCTGCATGTGGAGAGATTGGAACAAGACACAGCTGAGCATTCATTCAGAGAGGAAACTGTAAACAGCAAACGTACCGCCAGTGAGCAGTGCCACGGCTGCAGAACGACATACTGTGAAATGAAGAAGTCAAGGAAGAGCAGCGCTGTGCGCTCTCTCACAGACTGCATCAGTGGGGGCGAGGCAGATGGCCGCCCACCCTGAGCCATGGTTCTGCTCGAGGTTTCTGCCTCTTAAAAGGAAGTTTTTCCTTGCCTCTGTCTCCTAGTGCTGCTCTTGGTGGGAACTGTTGGGCTTCTGTAAATATCATCATAGAGTACGGTCTAGACCTGCTCTTTATGAAAAGCGCTGTGAGATAACTGTTGTTGTGATTTGGTGCTATATAAATAAAACTGAATTAAACTGAATTGATGGATTCTAAAATGCAGACTGTTAGGATGGCAGCACGTTACCAACTCCACTGACCAATGGGCTGGACAGAACACAGAATCAGTCTACAGGTCACAGAGTGAAAAACGGCAAGACATTAGACAGCCACTCATTTCCCATTTAGTCACATGCTGATGGTAAAGTGCTTGGCCAAATACTCAAACTGTAAGCAGCTTACGTGAATGAAAGCTAAACTCCAATGTAGTGTGTCCCGCACGGAAAGGGGAAAATCATTGAAGATACATTTTTATAGATTCATCTGACATGACAAGAACCTCCGCCACGACTCAGAACTGGCTCATTCACAGTGTTTGGTCATTGCAACAGATTTTTATTGTCATGAATGGAAAATAAAAAAGTTACACTGATCTCAGAAAGCTCCAGACACATTTCCCTGCCATTCACTTCCATCCTGAGCTGCGTTGTTATGGAAACGTTTCTAAATGCGACCTGGCCAGATTCTCCTTGTGAAAAGTCACTCAGGCGCATATTTATACAGGAGACTGACATGTACAAATGACTAACACCTTTAGATAAGGAGGTCAACGCCACAGCTGTAGGAAGTATAAATATGAAATAAAATGTTCAGATGTTGACCCAGCCCAGTTTACTAAC